GAGCTTCTGGCCTTGAGAGTTCTCATGGAGAAATCAGGTGTAATTTTGATAGGTCTGCCTTTATATGGTACCTGACCTTTTTCCTTCGCTGCTCTTAATATTCTGTCTTTATTCTGTGTATTAGGTATTTTGATTATTATATGTCCAGTGGTCTTTTTTCTCTGGTCCAGTCTTTTTGGTGTTCGGTATGCTGCTCGTACTTTCATGGTCATGTCCTTCGTCAGATTGTGTTCTTCAGTGATTTTGTTGAATATGTTTTCTGTGCCTTTGAGCTGGGCTTCTTTGCCTTTTTCTATGCCTATTATTCTTAGGTTTGGCCTTTTCACAGTGTCCCACATTTCTTGGATGTCTTCTGATAAGGATTTGTTAGAGTTAAGATTTTCTTTGGTTGATGAATCTATTTCCTCTAATTTATCTTCAGTGCCTGAGATTCTTTCTTCCATCTTTTGTATTCTGTTGGTTATGCTTGTGTCTGTAGTTCCCGAACGTTTGTCCAGTTTTTCTATTTCCAGTATTCCTTCAGTTTGTGTTTTCTTTATTGTCTCTGTTTCAGTATTCAAGTCTTGAACTGTTTCCTTCACCTGTTTGTTTTTTCTTGCCTTTCCTCATTTTCTTTAAGATATTTGTTCATTTCTTCCAATTTTTTTTTCTTCCATTTCTTTAAAGGATTTTCTCACATCATGTGTGAAGGCTTCTATCATTTATATGAAGGTATTTTTTAAGTCTTTCTCTTCTGCTTCATCTGCTTTGGGGTGTTCAGGTCTAGATGTAGATTCCCTACATTCTGTTGGTGTAGATTCCCTAGATTCTGGTGGTGTCATGTTGTCTTTCTATTATTAGGTGTTATTGCATTGCCATCTTCTCATCGCTTTTTCCAGTGGGTGTAGGTGGTGTCTCTCTCCCTCTATGCTTAGGTGAGTCAGAATTTCGATGTCTCTTGCTCTGGGTGGTCCAAGCTCTCTAGGAGGTCTCTCCTCAGTCAGGGGCCCAGCAATAGGGGTCAAAGATCAGGCTCCAGCAGAGGTGCAAGGATGGGAGTCAAAGGTCCAGCAGGCAGGGACTCAGGATGGTCCTGATGGGATAAGCAGATCTCTGTCTGGGGCCTGGAGCTCAGGGAGAGGACTGGTGGTGGGGGTCAGAGATCAGGCAGGCAGGGAATCAGGGTGGTCCTTGGTGGACAGGCAGGTCTAGTGTGCTCAGGGCAGTTCCAGGAAGTTCCTTGAAGGATCCTTGAAGGATTGTTGGATCCAACCTCTCCAGCAGAGGCTAGGAATGGAGATCAAAAGTAGGCAGCGACTCGGGATGATCTGGCAGGCAGGGAATCAGGATGGTCCCATGGGGATAGGTGGATCTCTGGCAGGGGGCAGAAGCTCTGGCAGAGGACTGGCAGTGTAGGTCAGTGATCAGGCAGGTGGGGATTCACTGTGGTCCCATGTGGATAGGAGGGTCTTGTGTGCCTATTTTTCTTTTTTATTGTCTTCTTCTGCCTTTTGCTCTTTCTTGTTTACTTTTATTGAACTACAGTTTAATCTTCATAAGAGGGTTGTAGAACACTATTCATTCCTTATTTAAAGCACACACACACACACACACACACACAAAACAAAACACTTTTATCTCAACTCTTTTGCTATCATGTCTAATGTCTTTCTGGCTGGTGATCATAATGTCCACCAAGCTTTGTATGTGTCTATTCCTTTCTAAAGGTAGAAATGTTTCTTCAGATAAATATATTTTATTCCTGTATTATTAATAATTGATTATTTGAGTGCAAGTTGACATGCCCTCATCTTGTACAACTGACTTAGAGATATGTAGACAAAAGTATTTAACAATATCAAATGTAATAAGCTTCTCAGGAATTTTCCCATTCATGCCTCTTCGTAGTTACAAATTAGTTATTGCTCTATGTATATGAGTTCTGAATCTACCAACTCAGTCACCTTCAGTTGAGTTTGGTATAAGTAGACCTTTGATGGTGTATGTGCACTGTTCATATACTGTCTTTCTTATATGAGGTTGTTTCCCAAACAATACATGTTCCAACTATTTGTATACTATTTAATTATTTTATTTACATGCAGTATAGATATATTTAAAATTTACCAAAAGGATGTGTTAAAGTTATGCGCAAGTAGTTTGCCATTTTATTTAGGATGAACTGAACAATTTTAGATTTTGGCATCTGCACATGTTCTGGAAGCTCTTCATAGTAGATAGTATAAGATGATTATAATAGATAAATTCAAATACCCCTGGGAGACTTTTCCGGAATTTCTTCTTAATTTTTTTTACATTTATTTAATTAAGAGATGGGCAGGATTCACATGCCATAATGTACATGTGTTAATCAGAGGATAAATCACAGTAGTCTGATCTCTTCTTCTACCTTATGAGTTACTGAAATTGAAAGCTAGCCATCAGATTTGGTGGCAAGCATCCTTATTACTGAGCCATCTAACTGGTGGCCATTCATCCTATCTTTTAATTTGTAAACTTATATAATTCAATTTAAAATTTTAAATACCATCACAGCATTGTGGAAATAATGTGTATTTATTTCAACCCAGATGTAATATATGAAGAAAGTGGAGGCAACTGATGGTATTATATTCATTATCATTTTCATAGACTTCCCTTTCAGTATTCTTAAAATCTACACATTTGATCCAATTTAGTAGAAATGATGCATGCAATTTTAAATTCAGAGTTTTTAGCTTTCTACCACTGAACATTATTCTTCCATTTTACTTGAAAATATTTTAAATATTATATTGTGTATTATGTTATTTATGCATAATTATGTTTGTGTAAGTGAATATCAAACATAGTCTGTGGAACCTAAGGAAATAGGAAAAGGTGTCACGCCACCTCAAACTGGAGGTACAGGTGGTTGTGAACTGCCTGGCATAGGTTCTAGGATTTGAACTTGCTTGGATTCTCTGCAAGAGCAGCAAGCACTCTTAACCTCTAAGCCTTGTCTCCAGCTCCTGAAAATGTGTTGGAATGACACAATGTCACAGTATTTAAAAAGACATTCATATTTTCTCTTACTATTTCATGTTATTTCCAAATTTTGATCTTTTAAGTATTGTAGCAATACATTTCTTTGATTCCAAGTTTCTGTTTACATGGCTGTTCTTATGAAAATTAACTAAAAGAAGATCTATGATGAGGAACATACTTTTTTTATTTAATTTTATATAACAAAGTCCAATTAAATGAAAACAAACATTTATACACAATATTTGGGAATTTGGGCGTCGTTCTTTCCAAACTACTTCCTGCTGCTAAGGGGGGCTGTCATAGGGGATTCGAAGAAGATTCAGAAATCCTGGCTGTAGTCTGTAAGGCTGCTTTTTCCAGCTGTTTTGAATGTAGGATCACCTGGTACTCTGTTTCAGGTGGTCTGGCGTGATCAAACCACATTAGTCTGGAAGGAATCCACATCTTTTCATTTTCTGTGGAAAGAAAAATAGAAATCCTTTTCCCCAGTAACTTCTCCTTCAACTTAAATTTTGGAGTCAAAGCATTTTTTTTAATTTAATTTTTTACATGTGGATCCCAGTTCCCTCTTCCTCCCTCCCTCTCTCCCTCCCCCCAAGCCCTCCCTCCCTCCTTCCTTCCCTTTTACCCTCTCTGCCCTCTCTCATGCACTCTAAACACCCTCCCCTCCCATCCCCCCACCCCAAAACCATATGTAGGGGAATGCCATCCAGTTGGGGTCATGTAGATCTGACATGTCCTGTGAAGTAGGGACTAGGGCTTCTCTCCTGTCTCTAGATTAAGGCAGTTATCCCTCCATGGGGGATATGTTCGCAAAGTCCTTTTGTGCACCTGGGATACATCCTGAGGAACATACTTTTTAAGCCTCCAACTTCATGAAGAAGACTCATCTTGATCCTGAGACATTTGCCATGCTATAGTGAATTTATAACTAGTTTCATAGGTGTTCCTCATAAAAAAAATTAGCCATCAGTGGGTACTGTTTTTAAAAAAGAGGTCTACTGCATCCATAAAACATGTGATTTGTCTGCTTCTTAGCTGTATTGAATCTTCAGATGTTATCTCAGATAGAAATCATTATTTTTTCTACACAAGCTAAGAGGACCAAAACCAAAAATTAATACAGCATAATATACTTTGTTGTGGATTTGGTATCCTCATACAAATATCACAGGGAGGACATAAAAAAAAAAAAAACTGCATTTCACAGAATATTCTTGTAGTGGTTTTTTTTTATTTATAATTTTTTATTTAATTTTATATAACAAAGTACAATTAAATGAAAACAAATATTTATACACAATATTTGGGAATTTGGGCGTCGTTCTTTCCAAACTACTTCTTGCTGGTAAGGGGCGCTGTCTTGGGGGGATTCGAAGAAGATTCAGATATCCTAGCTGTAGTCTGTAGGGCTGTTTTGTCCAGCTGTTTTGATGTGGTAGAAGCACATAGAGACAGTTTACCTGAACAAGAAGGAGCTAAGGGCCACTAGACTGATAGTGGGAAGCCAGCAGGGGACTGACTCGGGCCCCCCTGAATATGGGTCTCAGCCAGAAGGTCTGAGCAGTCTAAGAAACCTCAGACAGTGGAGCCAGGATGTATCCCTGGTGCACAAAAGGACTTTGTAGTGGTTTTTGTAGCTATCTATCCTTCTAGTGATGAGATAATTGCCTAGTACTATTTCTTCAAGTCTACATGAAGAGATAATCTGAAGGCTGCTATATTTGTCCTAAGTCCAAGACACTCTTTATGCATTTCTTTTCATTTGTAAATTACTATAACAAGTGCTTTGCCTAAACTCTGTGATTACATCTGTAAAACAAATAAGCTGTTTCAATAGGAACTTTTCAATGCAGTGTATCTGGGCTGGCATAAGAAATGGGGTTTGTGGAAAATCACTGCCCTGTAAGGTATCCATGATGTGTGTATTCCCCACTCTGATATACCTCTCCTTCATTTTGCTATTTCTATTTTTATCTCTGATACCCTTGCAGTGTCCAGATCCACCGTGCAAACAGGACTTGCTGGCTTATCTGGAACAGATTAAATTTTACTCTCACCAACTGAAAATCTGCAGCCAAGTTAAAGCTGAGATCCAAAACCTGGGTGGTGAGCTCATCATGTCAGCTGTGAGTACTACCTGCCACATGCACCATTTTATACAGAGACACTAGAAACAGAGTAGCTGTGGTGACACTTACCACCATCTCTTAGATGAATTTACCATTGGACAAACTTCCTCATAGTTAGTATAAATTGCATGTAATATAAATGTAGTTACAAAAGAAAAAAAAGAAAGAAAAAAAAAAAAAAAAAAGGAAGAGGACGATTACCATCAGGGGAAGAGAGGAAACCACCAATCATTATTGATTATTTATTTCTGACCTAAGTTTTAGCCCAGTCATTACAGTCACTTTCTAGGTTTCTTTTTTTTTTTTTTTCTTTCTTTCTTTTCTTTCTTTCTTGATATAAAGTTGTGGCCTTACACTAGCATTACTTATTGACTAGCTCTGCCTTAATTATTAACCCATTTCTATTAATCTAAGTACTGCCACTTGGTCTTATCTTACCAGAGAGAGGGGAGCTGGTGTTATTCTCTCTCGGTCGTCTGTCTTGAATCCCCTCCCTACTACTTTCTTTTTCCTCCTTGTCTCCTAGTCCCACCTATCTTGCTTTGCTATTGGCCAACTGTGCTTTATTCATTAACCGATAAGAGAAACATATTTACAGAATGACATCTCCCATCAGAAGTTCTTCTGTATTGTTCCATCTTCATAGTGTGTCTGGCAGACTCCTCAGCAAAGCAGGAAACTGAACTGTCCACCTGTATTGGCAGTTTGTCAATCACTTTTCTCTGTCCTACAGAATGTCTGGCAGACTCTTCCATGAACCAGGAACCCTGTAGCAATGTCCATCTTGTATCAGCAGTCATTTTCCTGTGGGTCCTGCATGTACAGTTTATATAGCATAAAGTCAAACAGTCCAGACAAGAGCAGTATCTTGCCCAAATGGCTAGTTTTGCCATATTGAAAGTAAACTCCAAAATGAGTTTCTTTGATGTCCATCTTTTTTTCTGACACAGGTGGTGTTGCCAGGAGCAGTTATGTCTCACTGTCAAGAAAAACCCTAAACCATTTTAAATGCCTTATTCTGTAGGCCTTTGAAAGGTTTGAAGAGAATCTATTCATATCAAATACATCTCTTTATATCTAGAAATCCTAACTAACTTAACTATTAAGTTCAGACTCATAGGTAACTATCTATAATCTGTACTAAATTATATATTACATTTCTAAATGAGCTATATAAACACAATATCTAAACAAGAGGACAAATATACATATCACAAAACTGAACTTAAATTTGTAACAATAAATGAAAATCCATTCCAAAGCAAAGTGTTCATATCTATACCATAATCCCCTTTTTACCTTTAAAGAGATTGGTTGTGGTCATTAACTATTTATAACCAAGCCCATTTAAATGAAAACAAACATGTATAAATAATATTTGGGAATTTGGGTGTCATTCTTTCCAAACTGCTTCCTGCTGGTAGGGGGCACAGAAATCCTGGCTATAGTGGTCTGCAAGGATGCCTTGTCACAGCTGTTTTGAATGATGGATCACCTGGGATACGTTTCAGGGGGTCTTTCTTGATCAAACCATGTTAGTCTGGAAGGAATCCATCACTTCATTTTCTGTGGAAGCAAAAATAGCAATCCTTTTCCCCAGTAACTTGTCCTTAGACTTAATTTTGAAGTCAAAGCATTTTTAAAATGTATAAATTTAATTAATTCAGCAGAATTTATTTTAATAGTTGTTGCTATTTACTCAGCAGTCAAAGAAAACATACAAGTGTTTCCAGACTCTTTTTGAGCTTTCTGTCTTTATGTGGCTTTTTTATTACTCTACTTCTTCTACTTCTGTTTTTTCATTTCATTTTTTGAGACAGGGTTTTTCTGTGTAACTTTTGCTTGTCCTGGAAGTAACACTATGTATATAGTGTTAATTGGGTTAGTTGGGGACAGTCTTGTAGATCTCTGGACATTTCTCTAGGTTCAGTTTTCTGTTCAAACATATAATGGGTCCCTCTGGCCTCTCTCTCTTTTCTCTCTTCTCTTCCTCCCATGACTCAATCTTCCTAGTCCCACGTGCTTTCTCCTAATTCCCTCTCCACTCACTGCTCCCACCTATCCCCATGTGCTCTGGAGATCTTGTCCCTTCCCCCTTCTGTGAGGGACCTTATATGAATCTCTTAGAATCCTCCTTGTATCCTAGTTCCTCTGGTGGTGTGAATTATAGGCTGGTGATCCTTTGCTCTAGGTCTAAAACCCATAAATGAGTATGTACATACCATGTTCCTCTTTTTTGTGACTGGGTTATCTCATTCAGGATGGTTTCTTCAAGTTTGATCCACTTGCCTGTGAATTTCAAGATTCTAGGTTTCTTTTAAAAATGTTAAATAAGTATTTTTTATTACAGAGATTAAGGAATGTATCAGCTTTTGGATACTACATGGATAAGAAATCTGTAATCATATAGTACAGGTTTTTGGCCTTATAAAGTGTACAAAGGGAACTTTGAATTGAGTTCAGTAAAGTTTTGAAATAAATGAATGTAAAATTGCCCATTAATACAATTATTTCATTGTCATTATTTGATCTTAGTTTTCTATATATTGATTATTATAACACATAAATTCTGGTTTTGACATTTTTAAAAATACCATATGTAATCTTTGAAACAGAGAATTACAAATATTTTTGCATTAGAGGAACTTACATAAATTCTTTGTTGGCCTTAAGTTTCAAGATGTTCTTAAATTACTATGGTAGAAATAATGTCTGGTGGTTTTTGCTCATCATTTAATAACATTACATTATTTCTCCAGAGCAGGCACAGTAATAAAATAATATTTGATGTCTGTATTGGATTCAGTTATCAGTGACTTTGAGAAGGACATGGATGAAGATTATAAATTTAAGTTAAAGTAAAGCATGATGAACATTTTAGGAAACCATATTGCTAGAACCCTATTTCAAAGCCGTACCAGTGTACTTACAGATTAGCAACATCTCATCCTTCTGAATCCCAACATAGAGCTCTCTCTTAATGAATTAATGTTCTTGAAGTAAATGTAGTTACAAAAAAAAAAGAAAGGTTATCATAAGGGGCAGAGAGGGGGAACTAATCATTATTGATGCTCTATCTCTGGCCTAAGTTTTAGCCCAATCATTACAATCACATTCAATGGGAACATTCATTTGATTGTTTTGTTCTTTAATATCTGAAGCAGTGCAATGGAGAAAGGGCAAATACCTTCTTTTGGGGGTCACACAAGGAAATGTCTGTGCCTTCTCCTTGGTGCTCAGCATTGAATCTACTAAGAAATTGAGTCCTGCAAGGCAAGAGTGAATAATTAAGAAAAAAAATTGGTAGGATTTCTCTTTTGCTTTTTATTTATATAAAGGTCAGAGGAGAAAATAAAGATTTATTTCCTTGATACACTGATTTTAGAAAAGCACACAGATGTATGTCAGTGTTTATATCCTTTCACTTTTCAAAGAAAATATATTTTATTAAATCACAAGCCATAAAAGCCCTATAGACATGTATACATAGAAATATACACATATTCATGGATACACAAACACAGTATTGAAAGAATTGTGCAGGTACAGGTGATTTTTTCTGCATAGGATGTTATTATATACTGTCTGACTAGTTATACATTGTAAATATCACAAGTAAGAAGTGAATTTACTTCATAGATCCCAGTGAATATTATAGCTTGGTCTACATCAAACATGGACAGAAGATATGTGACTGTTTACAAGCTACATAGATAAATTTTCTCATAGTGTCCTTTATAGTGTGTTGAGTGTCTTACATAAGATACTGAATAACTACACCAAGATGGGAAAGACTGTATACATATTGGCTGTTGCTCTCCTGTGAGGACAAAGTTTACAGCAATACTTCTAGTCAAATACTGAGCACTGTTATTTCAGGAAAAGATCTGGAACCGATACTTAGTGTTTTATTTCTACTGACAGTGTCTCTTGCCCATTATTTAAATTAAAAACATTGGAAAATTATAGGCCAAATCACAGAAAATCAATGACAACCTCTGCATGAACACATTGCATATGCGCATTAAGCTATCTTAGCTATATTTTTTAATTTCTTTTTTATTTTTATTTTACATATTGATCTCATCTCCCTCTCCCACTGTCCTTCCTTCTTTCCCTCTCACCTCTCATGCCTCCCGACTGCCCTCCCCTCCCATCCCCACTCTCCCCAAACTCCACATGTAGGGTGATGCCCTCCAGGATGGGTTGTCTAAATCTGTCAAGTCATTTGGAGTAGAGACTAGGACTTCTTTCCTGTCTCTAGGTTAAGAAAGTATCCCTCCCTGGGGGATGTCCCCCAAAGTCCTTTTGTGCACCAAGAATACATCCTGGTTCCACTTTCCACTGTCTGAGGTTCCTTAGACTGCTCAGGCCTTCGTAGCTATATTTCTAAACTACTAAACATCCAGTCATTTTTTTTAAACCTCGTTCAATATTTCCTAGTCATCATCTTTACAAGGTACAATTTCATACACATTTTATTCCAAATATATACAAAGACTTTTGTCTTACTCAGAGCAAAGCTGTCAGAAATGTCTGATGCATATCCACAGTTCCAGTCTTGGCAAGGCTATTAAAACACATGGTTTCCATACTAATAAATCAGTGGCTTGTTTAAAATCATCAGAGAAGCTTCCTCATGCAGCCAGTGGGAACAGATACAGAGAGACACAGCCAGATAACATACAGAGAGTGAGAGACCTTGAAACTCTCATCCCTAAAAGGGATGTCTCAATCAAATCTCTAACCTCAGAGCTTAGGGGACTCTGCAGAAGATGAGGTGGGAAGAGTATAAGAAACAGAGTGGGTGAAGACACCAAGAAAACAAGGCCATCTAAATGAAGAAGAGCAAAGCATGAGGCCTGCACGGGTCTGCACCAGGTCCCCTGAGTTCATACATATTATGGCTTCCAGTTCAGTATTCTTATGATGAGAATTCCTGTTGTATAAATGAGTGGTTCTCTGATTCTTGAGCCTTTTCTTGGGCTCTTTTGCTT